TTCTCCCTCAAAAAAACTGTGTTTTATATTTTTTTTTTTTTGTGTGTGTGTGTGTGTGTGTGTGTGTGTATCAGAGAGAGAGAAAGAGCTCAATAATAGGTGACAAGAAAGAGAGAGGTGGCACACACTGAGGCATGTGTGTGGGGACCAGGATACAACTCTATAGAATCAATTCTTCCCTTTCATCTTTACCTGGATTCTAAGGATTGAGTTTAGGTCATCAGGCTTGTGCAGTGACCACCTTTTACCTGCTGAGCCATCTTGCTGGCCCCCCAACTTGACTTTTAATAATTTATACAGCATCTGCCAGTCAAGGAAACATTTACTCTTAGCTTGAAAATCAAAGAACTTGGCCTTTCAAAAGATAAGGAAAACTAGTTCTCTCTTACTTGCTAGGAAAAAAAGAGCTCAATAAATTTGCTGAGCACTGTGTCTGAAGCACTCTCCTAGGGATTTTGAGTCCTTAAGCAAAAAAAAAAAAAAATCTAGATATATAAATGACTGATGCTTTACACATGGCTTTACCTACCAAGAAAAGTACACTATAGTATACTATGAAACTGTATAATTATTGACCCATACAGAAAATCAGGCATTCTCTGGCAGTTCACTTAAGGTAAGAGAGAAGAAAGAAAGAAAAAAAACTGTTCAAACTTAATTGTTCTAAGTCAGGCAAAGAGAGACAAATACTGCATGATCTTAGTTACATGCGAAGTCTAGCAAAGCTGAACTCAGTGATAGATAAGTGATAACTGCAGTCAGTGGTGTATGTGGTGGGTGAAGTGGGTAAAGGGCCTTACTAGTCAATAGATACAAAGTTTTGTTAAATAGGAATAAGTTTTGATCTACAACACAGGAAGATGACTATAGTGATAATAATGTGCATTTCAAAATAGCTAAAAGAACATGTGAAGTTGAGTTATAATCATGAAGTGACACATATCTGAAGTGATATGTGTATCAAAATATCACACCTTGTACCCTGTAATCCTAGCACATGAAGCTGAGGCAGGAGGATCATGACTTTAAGGCTACTCTGGGCTACACAGGAAGACCACATTTCTTAATGGAAAAAAAAACGAGATAGAAGAAAACATTCCATTTTTGGGGGTCAACAAGTACGTAACTCACTCACATGCCACCAATAACCTGAACAGAGCGTATCTGAGTGTTGAATCCCAGGGATCGGAGATTAACTGTTTCGGCATTCAATTCAATCTTTTTTCCTTTGAAATTTTCTCTTTCAAAAAGAATAATTGTTGGTTCAGAAAATTCCTGTTTGGGAACAAGTATGTTTTATTATCATCTGTTAATAATGTAAAGCTTATGTGGACAATTCAAAGCTTATGCGAAAGTCATCTAGTTACAAAGACAAAGCACAAGTTTGGCCAGGTTTTGCCAATTCATAAACTCTCACCAAGTTTGAGTGTTTTCCAGCTCCAAAGGTACAGGGAGGAAGGATGGAAGGGCAGGAAGTTTTGCTATTGCATCTAAAGGCAGGTTAAAGTAAATCATATTAAAGCAGAGTAGCAGAATATCCGAGGCCTAGAGAAACAGAGGTACGCATGGAACATCAACAAGTTTGATGGAATTTACTCTCAGCTTAGGAGAGTTTCCCAGTGGAGTAAGGAGGGCTGGAAAGCCGCGGACATAAACAGTGCTGTGGCAGCCTAGTGTCTAGTGATGCGGGAGCACTGCCCGATCTAGGAAACTTCCCTTGCATGTACTTTCTCATGTCTTGGTTTTGTTTTGTTTGGGTGTTTTGGATTTTTTTTAGCCCACTTTAATTGCCAATAAGGCAAGAATTCTGTATACTCATGTTCCAAAGCCTCCTGTAGGAATCGCTGTCAGGAAGGGGAGCAAAGTAGAAGCCACAACCACTTTACACAGGACAACAGCACGTAAGTCCACTGATTTTAAGACAAAGGAAACGTTGGAGTTTGTGCTTGTTTTCCAATTACAGGCCCTATGACCCTAGGCTCTGATGACGATATTCCTAAAATCATGAGTGACACATCAAAAAGCAGGGGAGGATTACAGGGATTTCCCCACCTGCTTCAAGTTTTGTGGCAAGGGTGAGGCACTTTACTGCTTCATTTATGTGAATATGCCCGGACATGTAGGAGAGAGTCTGTCTGCTATCAGTAAACAACAGATTAATGTGTGCAGGCAGGCTGCATGGTGTGGGGATTAGATTAAACACATACAAGGAAACCACTTTGTATGTTTACTGTACTTTGCTGAGATGGCATGCCAAAAAATGTCCTAACTAATTAAATTTACTGTCAGAAACATTTAACAAATTTGAAGTATGAAGTTATAATTGAAACTCCAGCTAGGGGCTGGAGAGATGGCTCAGGAGTTAAGAGCACTGGTTACTCTTGCAGAGGACCCAGATTCAGTTCCCAGCACCCACATAGCTACTAACAACTGTCCTTAACTCCAATTCCAGGGGATCCAACGCCCTCTCTGACCTCTGCAGGCACTGCACGACACATGCACACTTGTATACATGCAAGCAAAATACACACATAAAATAAAAATAAATAATGGCTCAGTGGTTAAGAGCAGTGGCTGCTCTTGCAGAGGACTTGGGTTCCATTCCCAGCACCCACATGGTGGTTAACAACCATCTATAATTCCAGTTCCAGAGGAATCCAATGCCGTCTTCTGACCTCTGCAGGTATTGCATGACACAGGTGCACTTACCATACAAGCAATACATTCATAAATAAATAAATAAATAAATATTTAAAAAGAAAAGAAAATGTACGGGGCTAAGGACATAGCTCAGTTATACAGAGCTTGTCTAACATGCAGGAGGCCCCAGGTTTGATCACTAGCACCCCACACACATATATACTCTCCCCTTCCACAATGTATCATCTCATTCTGGATAAATCTGTATTTACTCATAATCAAAACCTAAAGGGGCATCATCTTTATGACCGAATGATGTGAATAGATATGCCAAGAAGGGATTGCACTGAGAAACTTCGTATGCGCACTTGCAGATAGCTTAGAATTCTAGGCAAGTGAACTATCAAAAGTCTTATTTCATCACCTGGGTTTTTTCTTGTTGTTGGTGGTGGTGTTTTGTTTTGAGATGGGGTCACATGTAGTCCAGGTTGGCCTCAGACTCACTATGTAGCTAAGGATGACCTGAACTTGTGATCCTCTTCCTTCCACCTCCCGAGGGCTGGGATTCCAAGTGTGCACCACCATGTTCGGTGTATGCAGTGCTGGGGACTCAAACCCAGGGCTTCGCACATGCTAGGCAAGCAGTCTACCAGCTGATGCCATTATTTGTTACTTGTACATTAGTGAGTCTTGCCACATTATTTTGTTTCAGTGCTACTGTTTTCATGTCTCAATAGCATCTTATTATTTTTTAAAATACTCTATTTTTATTTTATGTGTATGAGTGTATTGCCTGCATGTGTGAAAGTGCACCTGTGTCGTGCAATGCCTGCAGAGGTTAGGAGAGAGTGTCAGATCTCCTGGAACTGGAATTATGACAGTTGCTAGCTGCCATGTGGGTACTAGGAATCGAACCCGGGTCCTCTGCAAGAACAGCTAGTGCTGTTATTCACGGAACCATCTTTCCAGCTCCATTATCTTATTATTTAAATATGTAAGCAAGCAGAGGTAATATGAAGACAGCACACATGTTCTTCCTCCCCTTAAGACCCAAATCACCAGCTTTGCATGTTTAAAGCATGTTATGAAATCAGCTATCAAAAACTAATACAAATTTCCACAATTATAGACACACCTAGACTGAAATATGTGAACATGATTTTGTGGTTTTGTGTACTTGAATATTGCTTTGACTAGATCAGAATGAAAGACTTGGTCCGAAGTGGGCACTGCAGCCTGGATTAGGACATAGTTGATGACCTGGGAGACGTCAGCAGATGGAAAAATCTCGAAAAGAGCAGAGTGATGACAGACCCAATCATACATTTCCGCTAATCAGCAACAACAAAAGAACAGGAATCTGCATAAAGAGTTGGCCGAAGAGCAGAAACAGATGAAACCCCAAATGACAAGTGCATGCGAGACTAATCGACTAACAGTGAAATACAAATCAAGCTGTTCCATCAAGCTGACAAAATCAGAAAGATGGAGAATGCGGTGTCGGAGAAGGGAACTCTCAAGCTCCGCGGGAGTCTGAGAGGACTTTGGCAGCACAGAGTGAAATCTGGCCCCCTTCCACCCTAGATAGACCCAAGAGATGTCCTTCCACACAGTCCACGGGATTCAGGAAGTAGTGTGGAACACTGGGACTGTTATGGTCACTAAACTAGTTGTACACCCAGCAAAATGGACTGCTCTTCAAAGAGGTTAATGTAAAGCATGAGGTGTGTCTGTAAGAGTGAAGACTGCTGTAGGACAATGTTCATACAAAATGAAAAGTTCTAAGTCCGGGTCTTTTGAAAACAGACATTTGAGAACCCTCGAGCTGTATCCTCCATACCCAAGAACATGTGTCTGTGAAGGGGAGGGGAGCAGAAACACAAGTCAGATCGTAGGTGGAAGAAAACAAGATGGGAGAAGGTCCTTGAGCTACCCCATAACTATTCTGGGTGTGAGTAAGTAATTCCCTAGTGAGAAATTTCAGAAACAGCAACAAAGGCTCTTGTGTCACAGACATATAAAGAACTGGTCACAGGCCAGAAAGCTCTGGTCTACTACTGCACCTTTAACCCTGGCATAAGTTCGAGCTGCTGATTTTCCCTGTGAGCCAGGCACTTCTATACCCCTATATTCATAGGGATATACTCACAACATCTATAAAACGAAGAGACTTCAAAGATGCTCCAGGCGGACATCCCATTGCTGAGAGACAGGGATAGTGGCCCTCTTCCAGCACATACTGGTTGCCAGAGAAATTTTCTCCATCATAAGCAACCCAACTACAGTAGGAAAAAACAACACACATGGTATACCATTTGAGTATTGCTGTTCAAGAACTCTGATTTTTAGAGGCAGTTTGCTATAACATAAATACAAAGCTTACAGTTAACAGTGCTTTTTAAAAACTTCATAAACATTTGGATGAATTTGCTGAATTTCATCTTGTGACAAATCAGTATTCATAAATTGGTTAGCTTTGTAGTTGGAAATGACCCATGTTTTTACCTCCCAGCCCCCCCCTTACTCCTCTCGTGAATGTCATCATGCTCCCAGCCACTGTAGCACCAGGCCTTGGATACTCTTCCCTTGTCAAAGGATCCCTCCTCAACCTTCATACCTCTTCAGTCTCTGGGATCTACTGTTTTTGCCCCCTGGGGCCTGAGCTCAGGGTCTCTCACACATGCTAGCTAGGCAAGTGTTCTACCACTGACCTATATCCCAGCCCTCATTTTTTCTACTTTTTGAACAGGGTTGTATTAAGTTTCCTGGATAGGCTTAAGCTTACTCTGCATCCCAGACAGGCCTTGAACCCCGTCACGCATGCCTTTAATCCCAGCTCTTGGGAGGCAGACGCAGGTGGATCTCTGTGAGTTCAAGGACAGCCTGGACTACATAGCGAGTTCCAGGCCAACTGGGGCTACAGGGAGACCCTGTCTCAAAAAGACAAAAAATAAAAATAAAATAATAAAATAAAGGCTTGAGTCACCAGGTCCAGCTACATTATACTGATAACTCTGAAAATGCTTCATACCCTTTTTTCCTCACTTCCAATACCTGTGAAGTGGACCAGTCACTACAGTGACTTAAGCAAGTCTCTTAGCCTTTCCAGGCCTCAGTACTATTGATAAAAGGGTGTTTTGCTGTGCTTCCCTAAAAGATGTTTGTGCTTTTCTTTTTAATCCAACAAATGTTCACTGAAGACTAATTGTGTGTTAGGTATTTTTCTTTTGCTAAAAACAAAGTCCTTGCTCTCTTGAAGTTTTAAACTTTAGTAAGCTGAGACAGGCAGTAAATAAGCAATAAAATATATACATGTCTGGCAGTAGCAGGGTAGAAGAGCACGGGCTGGGTGGAGGCATGTGTCAAGCCTCACCCTTGGTCTGTATCTGAACACAAAGTCAGTGCTCTTTCACTGTGCAGTGCTGAACCATACGATAATGTTCACACTAATGAACAGTACGATTAAAGACGCTCTAGCTACTATCATTAGACTTCATTCTCATCGCCTCTTATAGATTGCCCCGTGGCCTTCCTCAGTTTCTCTGACCTTTCCACTCTCCCATTCCTAATGAAGCTTGTATGAAATTGCTGCTTTCAGCATGGCACACTGAGCTCAGTGCTACTCCCAACCCCTGATCTGTTTCCTATGGCATCTGTCAAATTTGTACGTCTGCTTTCTGGGGTAGGGAGGGGACTTCTTTACAGCCAGATCCTCCCCTCCCCTAGTGCAGGCTGGCTTCACTTTTGCCAGCACAAGTCCTCCCAGCCAGGGAGGGCGTTGCTCCCTGCTCAGCGTGCACACCACTGCCTCTCCAGCCATGCACTTTTCTGTACCTGCCTGTCAAGCAGAGTGCCGATCCTACTCTTGTCTGCCTATAAAAAAATTTAAAAAAAATTTTTTTAAATCTGCCTTTGGAAATACCTAGGATATTATCCAGATCCTGCCACTTTTACAGATGATGGAGTGGGCTAAGAACATAGGATCTGGTCTGAATCCCCCTGCACACTGAGGTGATCCTCAGCTTCTCCAGCCCATATTGGTATACTCTCCCTCTGACATCTAGGCCCAGATGCTGCAAAGTAAGCTTCCCAACTGCTGTGGGAGTTTCACAATACCTAACAGGAGTCAGGAAAGACTTGCCAAGGTATGAATTCTCCTCTACCCCAGTGATCTGGCTCTGCCACTCACTGTTTGCTTACCTGCCTCCCAAAACTCTGCAAGACTTAGTGGAAAATGAATCATCAATTTGATTTATTGTCTCTTCAAAACTTTGACTTTGACCTTGGAATTGTGGTTCCGAAAACAAGTGAATCTTTGACGAAAGAAACAGAAATACATGAAATCATTTTCCTGAACACGTTAACTCAGCGTCTGAAATGATGACCCAAACCTGACCTGCCAACTCTCATTGCAGTAAATTGGTATGGATTTTATAAATCCTTTAATTTTCTACTTGAACATAATTATCAATTAGAAACAGGTTTGTTGTACCATTCATGACTATTTAATTCAGAGACATCAAAGGACAGTCTAACAACAGAGGCAACTTTCTAGAGAACACCCTGTCGTTACAAGCTATGAGGCATTTTAAAGCTTTATTGTGGCCCAAAGTAATTGTTCATTGGTTCTACAATTAACAATAGTCTATATTTTGGAAACAAGCAGTATAGTTTCCCTCCCTCTCAATGGAGGATACTTGCTGACTTTTTAGAATCATGTATATGCCAATAAAGGAGGCTACAGTGGTGTTCACGCCTCTGTAATTATGATATTCTGAACACTTGCATTAAAATCCTAAATACCAAACGCAGCAATGAAACTGATTTGAGAGTCAGGAATCAAGAGACTTGAATGAGACCATATAAAATGCTTGCTAAGACAGACACAGCAAATGTGAAAGTTCAGTTTATTGTTTTTCAAGACAACTATATGCTATTGTTTGAAATATTTATCTTAGAATATTCACAAAAATAATTCAGTGTAATGAAATTAAATTCACCTTTATGTAATAAAAGTATTACATGGGAAATATTTAGACCTGGACCTGTGCTACCAGTTAAGCAATAAAGTTAACATATACCTTATCTTTAAAATGTTTTCAGGCATAAAAATGAGTAAAATTAACAAAAGGTCCTAAACATCTGATATTTACACACAAGTTCATCTTTCTGATGGAAACCCTCTAATTATAAAAAATAGACTATTTGAAAGTTACCTGATTTTGTCTCCTTGGACCAGTGAATGAATCCTAAATATTTTTTTTAAAAGAAGAGAAAAAGAAATGAATGAAGGAGGTATATTAATTTTTTCTACACTAGCAATCACTGCTAAAAATAATCCCAGAGTATTTTCTGTGGCAATCAATATTACACAAACCAGAAGCGCATGACAGAACACCAGAATTGAGATAAATATTCTCATGTAAGAAATTAATTCCTTACCAAACATATGGGTTGAACAGAAGAGATCTTACAATTTTTGCCTCCCCAGTCCTCAAAACTGGTATAGAAGCCTTTATCCAGAATATACTGCTCTCCTGTGAAGTCGGGGTTTTCATAGGCTACCCACCTGAAGGAATAAAGCACTGGTTAAAGTTCTTATTTTACATATGAAACCTCCTCACATGCCCAGGTAAACAAAAAACAGTAACTTCACCTATTTTACTAATCAATAATTATTTTTTTCTGGTGCTCCACTAATATTTAGGAGCAGATTGGTTTTGTCAACATGACAAACCCAAATAGTATACAAAAGAGGACCTCTGTGTAAATTTTTTGGGTATTCTTAATTATCGAATTCTTAGTCCTCAAGAAAGCACCAATGAGGATAATTTTGTGGGTTTTTTTTTCTTTCTTTCTATTTCACTCCAAGGAAATACATTAGCTTTTTAAAAAGAATCTATCTGGACCTGGTAGTGCATGACTTTAATACCAGCACTCGGGAGGCAGAGGCAGGCAGAACTCTGTGAGATGAGATCAAGGCTAGCTCAGTCTATACAACAAGTTCCAGGCCAGCTAGGGCTGGTACAGAGAGACCCTGTCTCAAAAAACAAAGCAAAATAAAACAAAAAGAATCTATCTCTTTTTTTTTTTTATAAGCAGGAACTCTTTCTGTTATCAACATTAAAAGATTTCTGCAAACAGATGTAATAAAAAGCTACGTCTTGATTACATAACAAGCCGCACTGACTAAAAGTTAAAAGCTTAAAAAAATACAGCTAAGGAAAATTTATTTCAAACAGTATTTCCAACATACTGTGTTATATGACACAACTATATAATAAGCTAGACTAATATAGCTCCCAGGAATACTAAAAACAAATCTCTTATGTTTTCATGTTATCTCTTCAGGGATTTCAGTGAAGAAAAATCAGTAAAATCATCATATGGATGCTATTTCCATGCAAAGGTGATGTCTTTGAAGGGAAAAAGCTTTCCAATTCTATACCATTCAACAGATTCTCAGTGTCTGCTCCTCAGCTAATCTCCTGTTCTAATGATCCTCTCATAGCTTAAAGGACACACACACACACACACACACACACACACACACACACAAAATTTCCAGAACTTTCCAAATTGCTTTCATATCCACTAAATCTCTAAGGAGGTACTGGCATTCTCAATCAGTTAATGGCCAGAACATAACTAACAACTTGTGACCCGCTCACCATGTACTCAAAAAATTTCCCTTGTGTTTACTGTCCTGGTCAAACATATCTGAATCTGTACTGTAGGAAACCAGGATGACATGCCCTAGGGTGAGATGAGCCTAAAACTTTTTAAGTCCAAGCTAGAGTTCTCTGCTAAAGGGAGGGGCACTGAAAACAGCAGCTCTGATGTCCCTGTCTTGCAGAACACTGCAGGGCTAGCAAAAGAAAAGCAGCCAGGTCAAAAGTTTAGGCTCCCTGCTCTGTGGGAAAGCATCTTGGTCAACAGTCCTTAGCTCATCTCCCTGTCCTGAACAAATAACTCAGCTATCATTAGCTAAGAGATTAGGCCAGGTTAAAGGTTTACTCCTGAGCTGAAAAAAGCTAAAAGTTTACCATACTTTTAGCCCTAAGAAAGAAAACATTGTGGCCAATAAACTACTGGATAGGCACTAGTAACCTTGAGTAAAAGTTTAAGCATCCTGCTGATGCCAACTAAAAGGCTCTATGTTCTGTTTCTCTGTACGCTAAATCTTTGTATGTGACTGCCAAACCCCATGTGACTGCCAGTTCCTTGTAATATATAAAAACCCTCTGAATTTTGTAATAAATGGCTTGTGTGAAGGAAATCACAGGTCCCAGAGTCGTTACTGTCACTGATCCAGCCTCTCTGAGCAAAGCAAACTAGAGTCCTGATACTATACCATAACTGAAACAGATTCAGATTTCACTACTGAAAGGGCTGAATGAAACAACACATCTAAGATTATTCTCAAGAAATGAACAGCCATCTAGAAGAAAAAGAACACCGCAGAAGCAAGTATTCAAGAGCTTAACAGCTAACATCTGCACACTCATCTCTGGCCATCTGAATGGAGAGACTGAGTCACAACTGCAGAAAATATGTGCCTCCCCACCCTATCTCAGAGTTGAACCTTTTTCACTGTGAAGTGAGGAGTTAGGAGACATGGTTCCTGCTGTGATCCTGATATTAACCTTCAGGAATGCTAAAGAGGTCCCTTAACTTCTGTGAAAGTGTCTTTTCATTTGTAAGTGAAGAGCTGGCTGAGGTCCTAGTGCTGACTTGGTGAGGGCACAGGGCACCAGGATGCCTCTGCACACAGCCCTCAGGTAAGTCTGATGTTAGGAAGCAACTAAAGCAGGGAGCCTTGGAGTGTCACTTTGGCTTAAGGCCTTTTTGTTTAACATCAAAGAGGGAAAATCATCAGTGAAGAGAGAAAGATTGAATACCACAGAGGGGATGAGCCTGAGGCTCAATGACGGTCTGGCAATTCCTTTTTGTTGTTGTTATTAAACTAATAAGTGTGGGTACTTCATTTTCCAATGAAATTAAAATGAACAACTTATAAGTAAACACCTAACACTGGGTAAGTCTGCCTCATTCACTGAAATGGAAGCAAGAAACAGTGTATTTAAGATGTTATTTGTTCAAGAGTAGTATTCTTCCATGGGGCATCGCTAACTGAATTGGGAGTACTGGGGGAGAGGGGAAGAAATCCCAACAGCCTGATCTGAGAGTCTCTGCTGGATCTACAGGGTAGGATCCACTTATATGCACAGGCTTGCGCAAATGAATCCTGTGCATGTGAATCAATACCACTGTTTTTGAAGAAAGGCCGTGGGGAGGAAGAGAAATAACGAACTGAGAATCCCAGCCTGGTAGAACAACAGCTCGGCATTCAGGGGCAGAAGGCAAACCTGCCCTTCTGTGGAAGACTGACGGGAAAAACTTAAAACAACAACCCTTATTTTTATCTAAACTTTAGAAATCTTTCACCTTGCTCCTAGTTAAAAAAAAAAAAAGCCAGTCTCTAGCATTTGAACAAGAGTATAACACAGAGCTAGAAGCTGAAAAGCAGGATATAAAGGGATCACCTTTGTATTCCATTAAGTTCCAAAAAGCTTCAGCTGGTCTCATGAGCATCCTTCCTAATATGTCTGACAGCTAATGATTACTTTTCTACACAGGAGATTTATTACCCTGTGACAGTGAGCCTCCAGGGAGATGCTTTTACAGAACAAGAATTTCAAATGCTTTGTTCTAACTAAACATACTGGCATGCACCTGTAACCCCCAACGCTTGAGAGGCCTTTGAGTGAAGCTAACCTGGGCCATGTAGTGAGATTCTAACTCAAAAACACCAAAACAATGCAAAATGAAAGGTTTTTTCTAATTTTGAGATCCGTGCTAAGAAGCAAAGAACCAAATTAATCTGCTTATTTACAAATAAAAATCAAGCCATTAAAACAAAACATTTCCTTTGAAACTATTAAAAAAATGAACAGGGTAGTCATCCTCCTTCCCTTTGGCATACCTTAAACTTCACGTGCTGCAATGCTTCAGAGTACTCCTGCACCAAGGCTTGCTGAGCTCAGACAAAGAGCTCTTCCCTCTCAACTGTCTATTCCCAGAGTGTTTAAATCTCGACCTCTTGTCGCAGTAATCATGTTTTATATAAATACTGTAAATTCTCTGAGGGTATAATAAATACTTTGCACAGAACAGACCTCAATAAATATTTGTTAAATGACAAACCGAATGAAAATGAGGACGCAGCTGGCCTTGAGGAATACGGAAGCCCATTTGCATCGAAAGGTGCATGTGCGTGTGTGTGTCTGTGTGTGTGTGTGTGTGCATGTGTGTGTGTGTGTGTGAGAGAGAGAGAAAGAGAGAGAGAGAGAGAAAGAGAGAGAGAGAGAGATTCAACTTCCCCTAATACCAAACCTCAACTGCTATAACCAGAAAAACAAAGAAACAACAACAACAAAAAAACCAGGATAGGAAATATAACTTGGAAAGGCTGAAAATAGAAACACACAGATTAGGAAAAAAAAAAAAAAAAAAAAAGCAGGGGCTGGATAAGAAGGAAAGAAAGGCTGGATAAGCAGGGCAAAATGATGCTCTATGCTTAACAGCATGACCTACATAAACATCTACCCAGCATCCTTCAGCTTCCTTTGCTAGAGTAGTGACTAGTCTGTGACTAATGAGCAAATGCATTTGGTGAGTGTCAAAATGTACAGCTGTTTCTCTGGACTGAGCTGCTCATTGTATTTTTTTCCTAAATAATTAGCTGCAGGGCAATCTGAAATATTGTGGTGCCACACACCATTTTCAGTGACTTCTGCCATGTGTTCAGATGACTCCTGCCTTTGGTAGACATCTACTACAAATGTTAGGGCTCCAGAACAAGACCCAATTGAAGATTTTCTGCTTAAAATAGAATCCAAAAGTCACTGATACCATTCTGCCAAGATGGAACCACAAACAACAGGACATAATGACTAACAATAATAGTATATTATAGATAAAAGTCAAATATTCTGGGTTCCTAGGGGAGGTCACATGAAATGCAGCAGACTTTAGTCTAGACTGATTTAATAGGCTAGTATCAACCACTTTGAATAGAACCAATATCAGTTTTTTTTCTTATGTCTTTTTAAGAACATTCTCACAAGAAATCAGAAAAGATGTCACCTGGATCACAAAAATGATTAAATGATTCCCTGTAATGAGTGATTCCCAAAATGGACATCTGACATTTATCCACTCTTTCTGATGTTCCTGTTCCTCATATCTATTGTGGGATGGACCCTATATCTCCAGGGATTAACCCTAAGGATGAGCACATCACAAAGGCACAGCCACCTCTCTAGTTCTGGCATGTACTTATGATCCATACTAGGGAATCAAAGGCAAACCTGGAACCTGTGCATGTTAGAGAACAAAAGTCAGATGTGGCCATGGGCCACAGTGACGAGGGCTGAAGAGGGCCCACCTAGAGTAAAGCCAAGACAGAATAAGCCAGGTCAGACAGAGACCAAGTCGGGATGTCTGTTTGATCCCTAACATTCAGTCATGCCTGAGCAACATCTTTTTTTGTCGATCACTTTTTGTTGTGGTGTTTTAAGACAGGATCTCATTATATAGCCCAGGCTGGTCTTGAACTCTGTTCTCCTCCTTCCACCTCCTTAGTGCTGAGTTTAAAACCCTGTGCCACCATGCCTGGCCTGAAAAAAATCTTCTCCAGGACTTTTCAGTTCCATTTTTATCACTTAGTCCTAGTCACTTGGCTCAGTCACTTACATGTAGAATCATCTCTTTCATTAGTCATTTTTCAATAAAACCTTTCTTTGCCATTAATAAAGTAGTAGGCTAGGCAAGGTGGTGCATGCCTCAAACTCCAGCACTTGAGAAGTTGAGGTAGGAGGAGTCCAAGTTCAAGGTCACCTGGGATACACAGCAGGTTGGGAGCCAGCCTGAGCTGCATAGGCAGACTCTATCACAAAAACAATAAAACACTCAATTGCTAACTCCAGGTAAATTAAAAAATTATTTTTAGAACCAGGCATGGTGATGCACACCTCTTTAATCCTAGCACTCAGGAGGCAGAAGCAGGAGGATCTCTGTAAGATTGAGGCCAGCCTGGTCTACATAGCAAATTCCAGGCTAGCAGGGCTGCAAAGGAGATCCTGTCTCAAGAAAAAAAAATAAAATAAAATAAATAAAAAACAACAAAAAAACATTACTTTATGCCAGAATACTAGTGAAAGAACACAAGAGCAGGCAGAGAGCTGTAGGAAAACCTAATGGGACTTTGTCCCAATCTCAGGTTCTAATGTTAGATTGCTCTTTTTATTTAATTCCTGTCACAAGAAACACACAATCTACCCAGGCAGAAAAAGGACAACAGATCTGTGTGTTTCTATCATGGCACCCAAAAGCCTGCTTCATGATAAAAAAAGTTATATGAGAAATATTTTTAAATCAACTATGAAAATGCATGGCCATAAATATTAAGTGACTGAATTGATGTTTATCTGCACGATATTTACTGACTACCTATTTTGTGTCACAGACTATCAGTTTAACAGAAACCAAGGTGAAACCCGTATTTAAAACCCTGACTGCTGGGGCTGGAGAGGTGGGTCAGTGGCTAAGAGCACTGGCTGCTCTTGCAGAGGACCTGGGTTTGCTTCCCAGCACCCACAAGGCAGCTAACAATTGTTAGTAATTCTAGTTCCAGGGAATCCGATACCCTCTTCTGGACTCCATGGGCATCGCACAGTCGTTGTACACTTACACACATACAAGCAGAACACTCATACACATAAAATAAGTTAAAAAAAAAAAACAAAAAAACCAGTTAAGTCCCAACAGCATTATTTCACTTACACTCCACTCAGTACATTAATAGACTGGGTCTTCACTCCATATCCAGTTTCCTTTAAATTAGCAACAATTCCTAGTACATCAATACTGGAACCTTTGGATCCAAAGTTTTTTTCACTGTACATGATCATGTGAGCATTTGAAAAATCCTATTAAGAAAAAAAAAAAATCAAATTTCAAAGAGTAGCCATTACCCAAAAAAGGTCAAGCATTAGCCATTAGCTTTTCTTTAACTTACACCTAATATAGGTCGTAAAGACTGAAGTTCTCCATCGTAACCTCCCCAGTCTTTCCAGTCCTTGTATTCTCCTTCTTCTAGCAAATACTGATGACCAGTAAAGTTAGGCTTCTCATAAGCAACCCAACTGCAAGAGAAAGAGCCAGAGTAGTGATTCTTAGACATCTAAAATGCTTCCTACATACAAGTTTCATTGACAAAGTATAAAGTTAGACAGGATTGTGTGTGTGTGTGTGTGTGTGTGTGTGTGTGTGTGTTTAGGTCTTTTTGAGACAGGGTCTGTTGGGGGACCTGGCCATTAAAGGTCATAGTCCACTATGTCTGGACGACTCTCTGAGCTTCCTCAAAATGGAGGACTCCCTTTCTTAGCAGGGGCTTCCCACTCTCTGCCTGACCTTATTTGGAAAGTGTTTCCAAGCACAGATGCCTGATCTTATTTGGAACATGACCTTTGACATAGTTCCCTGCAAATGCTGCCCCTGGTTTTCCTGTATGATAATTAGGCATTGCACTAGAGCCAGTCAATCCCACCTCCCCATCTACATGACAGGGTCCTCCTGCCACATGTAAATAAAGCAGACTATGAACACCTATCAGGTGAAGCTTTGGCCGCCGTCCTCACTCTGTATCTTCCCTCCAACCCCCCTCAATAAACGAGCTGTCTCACTGAAGCTGACTCCCAGAAGTTCTTTCTGTTGTATTCACGGCCATCCTAACCCTGTTTGTCGCTTCTGCTCCCTTTATTCTTGTGGATCGGTGACCAACGACCCATGAGAGAAGAGAGACCCACAAGGGTCTCCCTGTAGCCCCAGCTGACCTGGAACTCACTATGTAGACCAGGATGGCCTTGAACTCACAGAGATCCACCTGCCTCTGCCTCCCCAGTGCTGGGCTACAGGCATGCGCCGCCACGCCTGGCTGGATTGTGTGTTTTACAACTGAAATTTTCTAACTTCTATGAGAATATATAAATTTATGTTATTATTAGAATTATTTAGTATTTAGAAGAATTTGCTCAATGGAAGAAGCCAGAGCAGTCTGTGTCCCAATTCCCTGTCAGCAAATTGGGTAACCTCTTCAGAGGATGGTGTGATAAGAATAGGAGGTAGGAATTGGCTAGACAGTTAGGGTAAAAAGACCCCCCAAAAATATAGCAAGTTTCTTGGCTAAAAGGCAAAATGTCCATGGGCCTCTGTTCCAAAGGCCAAAAATGACAAAAGTATTTGGGAGCTCTTATCTAATCCCTAAAAGATTTTAGGGTTACCTCTTTAGAGAAGAAATGTTAGAGTAGCAAAAATCCCCATTAAAAAAAAAAAAAAAAAAAAAAAAGAACACAAGTTGTCAGAAAAAAGTGATGGGGAAATATGAGGTGTTGGAGGGGAGAGCGTGGGCGTGGATTTGATCAAAACACCTTAAATGCATGTATGAAATTCTCAATAAAGTTTTTTAAGTTAAAAAAAGTAAAAGAAGAATTTGCCCAAGAAAACAACCTAAGAAACATGTTAAAGTTCTCTAAAGGAGTATGTGGGTACACACGTGTGTATGTAGTAAGAATTAAAATTAGCCTCAGCAAGGAAAACTGAACAGACTTTCTTAAAATAGTAATTAAAATATTATGATTTTTGCCTATTTACATTATGGCTTCAGGGTATACTTCTATAAAAAATGGCAAGATCTATGAAATTTTTAAAAATCATAAAAATTAGAAAGAAAATTCATTAGTTTTGGAACGTAATTCTAATAAATTTAATCAGTCTGGAGAGACTAACTTTAGCAGTCCTGCACTGGACCACCCCACAGCAGTCCCTCCAGCTCCTTCTCAAGCCGTCCAGACTGAGGAGAACTTGTACACAGCTGTGGAAACCCAGACCCGGCTGCCGACCCTTTGTTCTCACCTGGCATGTGTGAAGACCTGGGGGGCCCAACCTTCCACTACTCCCTACTCTCCAAATAAACATCACCATACTATAGAATCAAGAACACTGTCTGGGGGAGTTTTATTATTTTACCAAGGAAGAGAGATCCTTACCAGTCACCCCTCTACTTACACGCCTCTCAGAACTTTCATGGACCCCACCGACGTAAATGGCAAATGACCATTTCCAGACGCTTCTTCTGTCTCACCCTCTTCCATGATAAAACTGCACATTTCTGCTTCTAGCTCCACACATTTTCCTTCAAAGAAAGGCTTTTCATAAATAACTACCTGCAACAGAAATGAGATATATCAGTACTTTGTGAGAAGATAAATAGCTAAACATTGGATCTGTCATTTAATAGCAGTAACAGGCTAGGAGTATGGCTCAGTGGTATAGCACTTGTCTAGCACCGAAAGACACAGTAACAAAAAAACAAAAACAAGCCAGACATAGTGGAGCATGCCTGTAATCCAAGCACTCAAGAGGATGATAAAGGAGGAATCCCAAGACAAAGCCAGCCTGGGCTACATAACAAAACCCTGTCTCAAAACAACAAAAACAGGGCCAGCAAGATGGCTCAGCAGGTAAAGGTGTTTGCTGCTAAGACTGATAACCTGAATTCAGTCCCTGGGACCCACATGATGGAAGGAAAGAACCAATTCCTGCCAACTTGTCCTCTGACCATAAGCACCAGAGTGCGCGCGCATGCATGCGCGCGCGCGCACAAGGAAAGAACCAATTCCTGCCAACTTGTCCTCTGACCATAAGCACCAGAGTGTGCGCGCATGCATGCGCACACACACACACACACACACACACGAAAATAAGTAACAATAATAGCAGTAACTTGTCTAATACAAATTAAAATTTTCTAATCATATGAAGCATCTAATAATATAAACAAAAATCAAAAATCATTAGGCTTCCCTTCTTCCTGCCCCTGGTAAGGATCAGTCCAAAGCCAAGATTTAAAAAGATAATTTTGTTTTTATCTTTTTAAGACTGGGTCTCTCTGCAACCCCTGCTGGCCTGGAACTCACTATGTAGACCAGGCTGGACTCAATCTCACAGAGATCTGCCTACTGAGATTAAAGGCATGTGCTGCCATGCCCAGCTAAAAGATACAATTTTAAATAACTGGCTTTTTTTCCATGTTGAAAACTGAAATTTAGATTCTTGCTTAGGCAAAAATCCAGAGGATTCCAAAGTTGATTTTAAAATAAAAACAACTACATCATCAAAGTGCATGTACAGATGCCGAAAACCAAGAGCAGAAAGAACATTTGGGAGGGCTGCAGAGATGGCTCGGTGGTGAAGAACACTTGCTGTTCTTCCAGAGTACCCAGGTAGGTTCAATACCCAGCACCCATATGGCAGCTAACAACCATCTGTAACCCCAGGTCCAGGGTATTTGACACCCTCTTCTTGCCTCTATGGGCACTGCATGCATGTGGTACACTTACACACATGCAGGCAAAACAGTCATACACATAAAAAATTTTTTAAAAAGAGCATTTTGGAGTAGAAAGAACTAGTCCTGAGAAAGTGTCTTCCTGGTTGGTGGTAAGAAGCAACAGGCCCTACAGTTGCCACATATGACAAAGTTAATACAATGAAGCTCGTGAGCCTTGGCTATAATTGGTGCTGTCTGCATATTCCAGCCTTAAGCGTGCATGACACATGAAGCTGGGATAGCTTCTTCCAGCTGTAGTTAAGTGGGAGGGAGGTTTGCATGGATGTCATATTAGCATCATCTTCATGGAGATAGAATGGAAAGATTCTCTCTCTCTCTCTCTCTCTCTCTCTCTCTCTCTCTCACACACACACACACACACACACACACACACACACACACACTTTCGCTTTTTACCTTTGGATCTGTAGGGAATTCAACTTTACGGCCACCCTGAAAGAGAAACAGCATAGTAAAAAAACGGTCTTCACTGACGCCTCACGGTTTCATTTATCCATGGTAGCTGAACCTCACAGAGGGACTGACTACATTCTGCTTTGCTTTAACTTACATTCGATGGTGTTGAAATGATCAAATAGAAATAAAGATGTGAGGGAGACCAGCTACAGCAGACTCACACAGTCACCCTCTGCTAAATACGCATGTGAAATGTGTGCTTCCATTTTGTTTTTGTTTTGCTTTTGAAGTGTTGCATAATCAAATCCAGGGCCTTGTATATACTAGGCAAGCACTCTACTACTGAGCTACATGCCAGCATCTTGGTTTGGTTTGTGGGGTTTTTGACTGTTTGGGTTTTTTTTTTTTTTTTTTTTTTTTGTCTTTTTGAGACAGGTTCTCCCTGTAGCTACAGCTGGCCTGGATTCACTATCGAGACCAGGCTGGCCTCAAACTCAGAGATCCACCTGCCTCTGCCTCCTGAGAGCTGGGATTAAAGGCATGTGCCACCATCCCCGGCTTGTTTTTTTTTTTAAACTCAGAAAATTTCTCATACAATTTTAATTTGTGTTCCAGGAGTCAGTGCTGGTTTTTGCTGTTTTGTTTTCTTGTTCTTTTGAGACAGGGTCCCACTCACTATGCAGCCGAGGCTAGCCTCAAACTTGGAATTCTCCTACACTAAACTCCTAAAACTTGTATTTCTCACTTCTACAAAATAACCCTAAGATTTGACACCTTTGGACCGGACTGCTCACAGGTGGCAAACTTCACCTTCTGTACTTGCTAATCCTGCACAGGCTGGTCCTGGCACAGGCTGGGCTGGCTTCTCCACCACTCCCTTTGCTTTCCCCTCCCAGCAGCCTCACCCTTTGTATTTCTGGCCTGGCCCCTGGAGGCATCTGATTTTGCAAACCATAGCCTACAAAAGTGTTGGAGTTCACACAGCATGAAAGATTAATGCAAACTATTAGATAACACTTAAAAATCTCAAAGGGTGAGTGAGGGGTTTGCTATATTTTATAAAAGCTTTTTAAAAGTAAATAATTCTAAAACCACAGAAAAAGGCATTACATAAATATATTAAATAGGTTGAGTTAAAAGTCAGTAGTGGGGAAGTCAGAGGATTCTTCAGCAAAGTATCTGTAAGAGCTTAAAAAAACTATAGCCAAGGCTGGAGAGATGGCTCAGCAGTTAAGAGCACGGACTGCTCTTGCAGAGAACCTGGGTTTGATTCCCAGCACTTACATGAAGGCTAACAACTGTCAATAACTCCAGTTCCAGGGGATCCAAAGCCTTCTTCTGACCTCCATGGTCATTGCACAACATGGGTACACTTATATACGTGTAGGCAATATGCTTATATGCATTAAAAAATAATAAAAAAACAAAGCTGGGTGTGGTCGTACACACCTTTAATCCTAGCACTTGGGAGGCAGAGGCAGGCATGTCTCTGTGTGTTCAAGGCCTTCTGAGTCTACATAATAAATTCCAGGCCAGACAGGACTATGTAGAGAGACTCTGTCTCAATGAAACAAAAATATCTGCAGCCTAAGGTGTTCAAATGGACCAAATGAACTGCCGTCATGAGGAAATAAGGCTGATTTTATCAGTAAAACAGAACTTATACAACCAAGTAAGAATCTTCTCCAAAAATAATCTTTTTCAGACACAGTAAACTTCAGTTTAAAGTGCTTTCACAAACTGCTTTCTAAACCTGAAGCAACTTTTATTATTATTATTAATTTTATGTGTATTCATGTATTGCCTGCATGTAGGTAAGTGCACCTGTGTTGTGCAGAAGAGGCTCTGTTGGATCCCCTGGAACTGGAATTACGGAGGGTGAAGCAACTCTTTTATACATTCAGAAAAATTAATAAAACTGTTGCTCTTTGAAAGTAGATTTAATTTTAGAAGAAAACAAAACCCTCCAATCATTTGCATTAGGGTCTTCAGATACACAGATAACCAAATCAAAGCTTTGGCAGAAGGGGTAAAATGGAGATTAAAAATAACTTTCTAATTTGTCTGTCGGGCTCTACAGACAACTGTGGAGTTCCACTAACCACTGGTAGCAGGGGCTTCACTCTCTCAAGCGTTCAGTGAGTACCCACCTCTGTGTGGCACACACCATATCCTGCTGTGGCAACCTAGTTCCTCACAAAGCCTTCATTCCAGCAGAACAGAGGCAAAATATGGGGTAAGAGAGGAAGCAGCACAAGGCTCTAAGGCAAATTCTTGGGAGGACAAGTACTTGGCACTCAGCCCCAGCTAGTCTTAAGCTGCTGCCCAGCCCAGTCTCCTGGTCCTCAGGATGCCCCTCCCCTTCCAGCTCTGTGCCCTGGCTCCCATGCATTCTTTGCTAGCTCCAGCTATGATAGTCCTGCTCCTGTTTGAGACTCAACATCATTTATCATAAAGCTTTCCTAATGATCTTCTCTGCCACTCCTCCCATCGGTTGAATTTTATTTATCATTTTTCCTGTTTTTTAACACTTCTTTTCTTTCTTCATTTCCAAACCCAACACTGGGCTTCAGCTTTGCGAACCCATCTGCAGCCCTGCAAGGCCGAAGTGCCTTCAAGGCAAAGGGCATAGTATTGCCTACTTTTCTTGGCTGTAGCATTTAGTAAGTTATAGCTTCTATTATTTCTATCCAGCAGCAGGCAGGACACCTACATTTTTATGATAGGTTTTATATATACATATATACAATATATATGTCATAAACAATAAAAGGCAGTTTTAGTGCTTCAAAGTCACACCCTGTAGATTACTGATGTCAAGTTAATAGAGATTCGCTGCTCAGAATGCTGAGTTCCATCTCATTTTTACCATTTTCAGAGGCCGCATGGATCCGATGTATGCTTCTTCTGTATCCCAGAAAGATAAGTCCGGGTATTCACCAGGTTCCAGAATAAAAGGGACACCCTGAAATCCAGGTTCTTCATAAATCAGCCATCTAAATAGCCACCAAGGAAGGAAAGAAACAGAAACTCGTCATTTATCTGTTCTCCCTCCTCTCTGATACACAGGACCCCACCACAAGAGGGGAAAAGAACAGAGGCAGGTCTGGCCACACAGTGTATGGCAGCATGCAGGTGTTCAGGAGAAGTGAGGGGAGGGAGCCCCGGAGCCCCCCGCCTCACGACCGGCTGTGCTGTGCTCCTCTTGGTCTGACTTTTTTCCTGCATGTATGTAAGGGCACCTGTGCATGCAATGCTAGAGGAGGCCAGAACAAGGCATCGGATTCCCTGGGCCTAGAGTTATGGAAGGTTGTTAGCCACCATATGGATACAGGGAACCAAACCCAAGTCCTCTGCAAGAACAGCCAATACTCTTAACTGCTAAGCCATCTCTCCAGCCTTCACCACTTATTTTAAGCCATATTATTAACTGCTTCTGAGTGTAAACATCTCCGTCACTTTCACATAAGAAAAGTAGTTTCCTTTTTTGCACTGTATTTAATTAAAAGAGGCCAAGCTGGGCAATCTCAAACCTTGTCTTAAGGTGATATTTCATTTGTAAACAAAGACCAGTGTTCCACCTAATCATTTTTCATGGTATCAAAAATTAATAACAGCTGACACCTCCCAAAAGCTTATAAGGAATGCAGTTCAGAATTTTGGCTAATCCTCACAATAGGACTACCAGGAAGAAATGCTCTTGTCCCCATTTTACAGGTGAAGTTAAGTCACTTGTGCCAAGGCCATGGACTCAGCTCTAAGTACCTAAGGTGGGGCTGCTGCAAGCTGACCTTTGATCCCAGCTCCCAACCAGTTTTCCATGGCACTTTTTTCTCACCGCAGAGAGTGCACCAAACATAATTTGCTCTTCTCACAGTCACTCAGGATGCTCACTGTCAGCATTATTCAACGCACACCATGTACACTGCTGTCCTCAGGTCCAAAGGGCTGCCCATCTAGAGGCTGCAGCACTTTCTGCATTCTTGGTTCTAATCTTCATGGTACTGAAATGCTACAACTTCTATCAGGCTTGTCGGCTGTCACTACTGCTTGGGTCCGGGAATGGCAGCCCCACCCTCTACTGTGCTAAAGCCAGGGAACCATAAAATAATGCCTGCTGGAACTGACTGCAGTCTTGTGACTTCCTCCCTTCTTGGGAGGGCGCTGGGAAGGTGATGCTGCTGCAGAAGAAGCTTACACATTAGATATGACTGTCCCCTCAGAAATATGCAAGCTCCTCCCTCCTGCCCTCTCTTCATCCCCTCCCCTTCCCATCCTTCTTTCCCTGACCCCCAGGCCCACATCCACAGTCTTCTTGGTGATGATTTGGTTAGTCTGGCTGAGCCACCAAGCTGTGGTACTCTACTTCATTATGTTCCCAGGCACTGTGCCAAAAAGGGGGTAACTCTAAATGAAACTCTTCACAGCCAAACAGGGTCTGAGGATCCTGTTGGTTTTCTCTTATTCCCAGTTTTGGCCCAGCACCCATTTTAGTGATAGTTTATGTTAAAGACACCCCTGGAACAGCATTAGACTAATTCCCCAGGGACTTACCACCAGACACCTACTGACATTGGTCAATGTATACACAAAAGGCTGGGCCGCCCTGTAGTTACTGGTGGGGATCAAAGCTAATCTACAGAGTTCAAAGGCAAGATCACAGTTACTTCAGGAGAGGGGTCTGGGTAGGTAGGGTTGTAGTGAAAGAGCCAGGAGGAGGCCTGAATGAAAGGGCTTCTGAGATGCTGGAAGGTTCTATTTTTCACTTACAAAAATACATTCAATTATGCACTTAAGATTCTTTGTGTACTTTTCTATACAAATGTTACACTTTAAAAGAAATTAACTGAGGGGTAAAAAGAAGTTGTCTTTCAAATACCCCTATAATCCTCCTAGATCACAAGAAGATAGAGACTATGAGGGAACACTTTAACTGCCTATGTTTAAACCATGACAGTTAGGGAGGCAGCACACACTGTGGAGCACAGCACTGGCTCCAGCAAGCTATGCATGGGTTTTACACCCTGGCTAAGGATGGTAGTTCTGTAGTAAGTTCTGGGTTTTTTATTGGTTTTTTGGTTCAGGTTTTTGTTTGTTTGCTTGCTTGTTTTTTGAGCAGGGTCTCACTATGTAGCCCTGGCCTGGAACTCACAGATATCTACCTGCCTGTGCCTCCAGAGTTCTTGGATTAAAGGCATGCACCACCATACCTGTCAATTCTGTTCTGTTTTAGCCTAAGGAGTCCAAGGTCTCAGGGTCTGACTCCTTCACAAATGAATAGGCTTGATTTTTCATAAACAGGATAGGAGGCTGAGGACCAGGTGATTTGGAAATTTTGAAATGCTTGTGGCAGTACCCTTCCCATGACACTTCCTTTCTTTAGTCCAAGTTGTAATGGATTTGTTTATCTGATGCTAAAATTTCACTTTCTTTGAAGCATATGGGTTAGTTATACAATATAGAAGGCAGGCCAGGGAAATTTGCTAAGAAACTGAACAGTTTATACTAATACTTTTGCAAGACTGTCCTGAGAGTCCTCCTTAAGTGAGTCAGTGCTAGGGATCATGTTGGTAACTCAAAAAAAGACATTCACATGTGCTAGGTGCTGTTGGGAATCTGAAAGTTCATACACAAAGCATAATGATGTTCCTAAATTCTGTGCTAGCAGGATACATTCATTCATGAAGCTACGAGGAGGGGGGGATTATCTTCAGGCAATGCTATTTCTGTTCCTAAAGATACTGACTGTATCCCTTTTCCTTTATATCCAGGTAATGAGCTTTTGCTCATTAAAAACTAGGCTTTGTAGTCACATTAAATAAAGAATGAGTTTATTTTTTTAACAAACATGAATGTGCATGCATGTATTCATAAGAAACATGAACACTGCTAAACGATGACCATTCACATGTATGTTAAAATATCTGCATTATTATTCTTTTAGTAATACCCTTTGAGTCACGTAAGAAAAACTGGTCATATCTACCTGTTCTTAGAACAAGTAACTTATAAGTACCTCCTGGAAGGCAAAACTAAGCTTAGTATGCCCAGCTGAGTCCTAAGAGATACAGCTGAACATGAGTGTTGGCTATTTACGGAAATCAACTGAAAGATTAAATATGAGGTCATTCAAAACTGTTGATTAACTTTTGCAAGGAGAGATATGGAAGGCAGAAAACCAAGCAAACTTTTATCATTGGTAGGCAGGTAGTTAGGCATCATGTAGTGTTACAGCATAAATACATGGCACTACCTCACATGAAGGACCCTTGCCAAAATCACTCACCTAAATCTAATCATACCTTTAGACTTAATTTTTAGTATGTAGAAAACTCAGGGAATAGAGGATAATGAGGAAATCACTCAGGAAAATTCTTCCGTTTTCTTTTTTTGGTCTTTTTGAGACAGGGTCTCCCTGTAGCCCCAGCCAGCCTGGAACTCGCTATGTAGACCAGGCTGGCCTCAAACTCAGAGATCTGCCTGCCTCTGCTTCCCAAGTGCTGGGATTAAAGGCATGCACCACCACGCCCGGCTGCAAAATCCATTCTTTCAGACAGCTGCTGAAGTCTTAAGAAGTCTGGCATGACAATGCTGGAAGATGGCTCAGCACCCATGTAAAAAACAGCCTGGCATGGCTGTATGCACCCAAAACCCCAGTACTGGAGGGAGGAAGACGAGTTTCACCGACCAGTCAGTCTAGATGATAACAACACACACAGACTAGGTCTGAGAATGGATTAAGAAACAAAACCCATCTTTTTGTTGTCTGCAAGAAACTCATCTCACTTTCAAGGACAGACAATATCTTAAAGGATAGAAAAAAATATACCAAGCAAATGGTACTAAGAAAAAAGCAGGCGTTGCAATTCTAGTATATGAGAAAATAAACTTTAAACTAAAACTAATCAGAAGAGATAAAGAGGGCCACTTCATTCTGATCAAAGGAACAATAAATCAAGAAGATATTACAATCATGAACATATATTCACCAAACTCCAGTGTCCCCAACTTCATAAAAACAATAAATACCACAGAACTTTAAGACCCAGATTAATCCCAGCTCATTAATAGTAGGGGACATCAATACCCCACTGTCTCCATTAGATAGGTCAACAGGGCAAAGAGTTAACAGAGAGACATCTGAATTAACACCTTATATGTATCAAATGGACCTAACAGATATCTACCAAGCACCAAAGAATATATTTTCTATTCAGCACCCCATGGAACCTTCTCCAAAACCGACCATACACTGGGACACAAAACAAACCTCAACAAATACAAAAAGATTGAAATAATTCCATGCATTCTATCAGACCACAATGCAATAAAGCTTACAATCAACACAGGAAGAAGCCATAATCACCACATGAACACATGGAGATTAAACAACACACTCCCGAATGATGAATGGGTCAAAAGAGAAATTAAGAAAGAAATAAAAGTATTCCAGGAACTAAATGAAAAGGACAATACAACACAACAAAACCTCTGGGACACGCTGAAAGAAAAAATGAAACACAAACCCAGCAGAAGAGAAGAAATAACAAAAATCAGAGCAGAAATTAATGAACTAGAAACAAAGAAAACAATAGAGTCAATGAATCTAAGAGCTGGTTCTTTGTAAAGCTAAACAATATTGACCCTTAGCCCAGTTAACCAAAAGAAAGAAACAGCACCTCCAAATCAACAAAATCAGAGATGAAAGGGGAAACATCACAAGAGACACCAGAAAGATAAAGAACATTATTAGGGATTACTTTAAAAAAAATATGCCAGGCTGGGGGTGGTGGCACACACCTTTAATCCCAGCACTAGGGAGGCAGAGGCAGGCGGATCTCTGTGAGTTCAAGGCCAGTCTGGTCTACATAGTGACTTCCAGGACAGCTGGGGCTACAGGGAGACCCTGTCTCAAAAAGACCAAAAAAAAAGCTACTAAATTTGAAAACCTAAAAGAAATGGACAGATGTATAAAGGCATGGGAACCACCAAAACG